TAATTCTCCACTATGATCTGTATGATTATGAGAAACGAATATTTGTTGAGGTTTAATATTAGGATTTTTTAAATATTTTTGAAGTGCAAATATTGAACCAAGACCAATATCAATGAAAAGAATACATTCGTTTGTTGATCGACGTAGAAGAGCAAATGAACTACTCGCTTGATTTGAATAGACTGCAGTAGCACCTTTACCAACACCCAAACAAAGAAGATCATAGGATGAAATTCCTGTTAAAACCTAAGAGAGGCATAAATATAGAGATGAATTTAAAGCAAGTCTCGAAGATATACTTCTACATCGTCATCGTTGACGGATATTCCATATTTTTCAGATTGTTTATCCGTAGAATGTTCTACAGAAGTGCTCACTCCCATGCTTATAAATAAATATGTTAATCGATAAGGACGTATTTAAACTAAATTGTTGTTGTGATATTTTAAATGAAGACTGAATCAATATTTATAATTGCTACAATATTTAAATGTCATACAGGTAAGACAACGAAAAGTAAGATTCTTTTTTTTTCTCCTTATGTTTTATAATGATATTCACAAACGTTTACAGTTATCAACAAACAAAGCAATATTTACAGTAATCAGAACTTTGATTGGAATCATTTAATAATTTACGCATATTGATGTAATAGTTTATGAGAGATAAGAAATAAAAATTTTTTTATTCCTTCTATTGGATGATTATTGACAAAATATAAATAACATACAACAAATAAAAAAGATTAGACTTAATCAATTAATATCCCAGGTCATCGCGAACGGTTAGAGAACGCGTTCCGAACAAGTGGTTCGGAACGCGTTCGAAGGCGTTCTGAACGGACGAACACCATCGAATGCAGTCCGAACACGTTTTCATACGTTCGTCCGTTTGGAACGCGTTCTGTAACCGTTCGCCTCGACCTGGGCAAATTCTGATTCCTGAATGTCGGCAACCTATGGGAAAGTTTTATCAAAAGATCGTAAAGTCTTAAAATAAAATGGCTTGTTTCTGACTGGTCCATTTTCTGACCAATGAAAGTTCAGATCGGAAAACCGCCTTCAAATTCGGATTCCTGGATATCGATAACCTATTGGAAAGTTTTATCAAAAGGTCAAAAACGCTTACTTGATTGTACAACCAAGCAATAAATATCAAGACGGTAGTGAATGACATGTCATATCGTAACGACATCATTATTAAACGAATACTTCTCTAGCCATTTCCTAGAAATATAGGGAATTTCATAGATTAACCCAAGGATCTTCTATAGGTCAACCAACGAAACTATCCTCCAAATTTAGATGGGTGGATCAGAGTTGAGACCATCGAAGCGACCTGCCCAACCCGCTAGATTGAATTAAGATCAACCTTGGAAGCTCCAACCTAACGGGTATCCAAACTAGCATATATATCCAGAATTCTAAATATCGAGATATAATAATCCATCGATATTTCCTATTTTAGACATTGAAAGAGAAAAAAAATTGTTTTTCTACACTATCCAAATAGATATTTTCTCAGTTAACACATTCAAAACTCTTACAGAAGCTTGAATAAATTGTGTATAAAAGTGTTTACTTCTAGATAAATATAAATAAACGGAGATAAATATATTTTTCAAGCTATATAGATCGTTCTCTCGGTAAATAAAACTCGTTTTACTTATCCGAAAAATATTTCGATGATGAACCTCACTCGGTCAATAACCAATAATTCATACAATTTAACTTTTATATGCCAATTTTCTATTAAATTAGGCTTTTTTTGCCTAATTTGAATGTCTTTACAATAAAGGTAACTAGATGTATTAAAAATCGGTCTTCATCATTGATTTTAGTATTTTTATTGATCTCACCATTCGAGTGGGTTCTCAGCTTGAACCAGTGAAACAATGACGGTAAACCTATGATTGATTAATTGATTGTCTCCGTTGCATACTATTGTTGATTGATGACTAGTTTTATACGAAACCATGGATATCAAATAATCAAACTCGTAAACTCAATTAGAATAGACAATGTAGTCAGTACAGATGATTATCAGCGCACTCCCAATAATACGAAGCTACGATTTCGACTGAAATGTGACATCGTCTTGTGAGTTAAAAAAGAGTCATTCACCGGTATATAACTCTGTTCCCAGCTAGAGAATCACGATTACCAAATGTTTTTTGACCTATTTTTGGAATGTGAGTAATTACTATAGCTGACAGTGACCAAAAATATTTTTATCAGTAGAAAAACTCCGTAGCGAAAAGGTTAACGAAAGTTTTGGCGTCAATTTCAGCAAAAATACAGTTAAATGTCTTTTTATTTTTACAAGAGTGTAACTATGAAAGTATCGTTTTCTATCATCATTGTAAAAGTTTTCTATTTTGTCTTTCCGAATTTCGTCTAAAATCGCATGAAGTTAAATATATTTTTTCCTATAGTTATTTTTTAATTTTTTTTTTTTTTTGTATATCTTGTTATAACCTCCGTTGTAAAAGTCTTTAGCCAAAATGTTTATTCATTTTTCAGTTGCCTAAACGTCATTAGTGAGAATCAAAAGTAGTTAGCTAAAATCAGATTTTTGT